AGGGGAGAGGGAAGAAAAAAACGTCCTTCTTGACACAGCACCATCTTCAGAATGTTAAAAAAAAAAAAACCTTCTCTCCTTTATATCTTCCATTAGCAAAATAGAATCAAGGGCAAATCCATGGCCGCCTTGTCTCCTGGTTACGAAGGGTGAAGCCGCCCTCCTGGGAACATGAGGACAGGGCTCCTGCTGCGCAGGCATAAAGCATCCAAGAGGCCGCACATACATGCCACACACTATAATGAAGCACAGATTCAAGTAACATTTACATACTAGAGTCCACGTGTCACCTACCCGAAAACAGGACCATTTCACAAAACATATACAGGCAGTCAAATCCAAACAAGTGAGGTACTGGGAACACAAATATTTATGCCAAAAGAGTTCTGTATCATACAGCAATAGAAAAGCCATAATAAAAAACATTTTGCCACTCGAAATCAAATAAAGCTATCTAGAAAAGCCAAGTAAAAGGTTATTTCAGAGACAGAAATACTCAAACAAGGAAAAAAAATCGTAAATGTTAACTACAGCATGTAATATGTCATCCCAAGTCAACCCGTAATTGAAGTACTGGCTTAATACATCACAATGTGACATTTTCCTTAATAAATAGAAGAGTTCTTGAAAATACAAAGGTGCGTATTGGGATAGAGAGCTGTTTTTATTTATATCATCATAGCTTTCAGCTAATTATCCTTCCCGCTCGTCTCTACTGGGGTTTTTTGTCCAAACCAGAGGGCCTTACAAGCCAAAAGGATCATTCTCCGTAAAGAAAACGAAATAGCTGCCCTGTATTTTATACACGTGGGACAACCTACTTTGTTTCACTAGCTTCTAATAAAACAAAGACAAATGTTTAGTTGCGATCAGAGTGCTGCAAAAGCGTCAGACTCCAGGAGCTTGCTAAAATCTCAGGCCATTGCTATCACCTCAGCAAAGAGGAATGCCTGTCACACAAACCCTCATCGTTCAAAAGCAAAACATGAAAAAGGAGTTGGATTTCTCTTTTCCTTTCTTCTTCCCTTTTCTTTCCCCCTTTAAACTAAGATAGCAGTAATGCATCTGGACGTTTGACTTCTAATAGCTTCCTGCCACGAACCAATTGACACAAAACAGAATAGCTTGTTAAAGGACAGATTTTTTTTCCCCTTCAGGGAGCAAAGCATTAACATGTCATTTCCTGACCAGGATATTAAATAGTTTATTTAGAAGAAATGAGTTGAAGTGAGCGATTAAGAGACACAAACTGGACTTTTGTTTTCTTTTAGTGTAGCACCCAGGTTTCATGTCAGTCTGTGTGCACCGAATTTTTTTTTTTAAGTGAACCTCATTAATTACCAGCTAGGTGGTTGGCTTGTTTCAAAGAAAAACAAATTCTTGGCCAACTGTTCCTTCCCTGAATCCTAACAAGAAGTTAAATGCTAACAGTGCGATGCCAGGATGTGTGTTTGAGGCAGAGAGTTTTCATTCTGTGAGGATCTGCAACTATTTTGGAACAAAATGAAAAGTGGGGTAGGCGGAAGTGGCCCAAGTGGCAAGGGGTGGTCTCCCAGGCTATGTTAGGGAAGACAAGCTCCGGGGGGCTCCCATCCATCTCACCCCAACCCCCATCCCACGCCTCTTGCCCCCTTGCTACATGGTCAGTCAGCTCCTTGAAGGTTATCCTTCTCTGAACCAAGAAACTTAAGAGTGTGAATGTCTTTTTTGCTACTCAGCCAGGCAATTCGTGTCCCCTGGAAGAACTCCTTTCCGCTGCCCTCGCTCACTCCTGGTACCTGCTAAGTCTCTGTGGGGCATGAGCTCAGTTAAAGAAAGGGTCCAAGTTCTCTTCCATGTTGACGTCCGGCACCAACTGGTCAGACACTTCCTTAGCACCATATCCTGAATTCGAGACGCTAAAATCTGTAGAAAACCAAGGATGGTCCAGAATTTCCTGCGAGGTCAGCCGCTCCGAGGGCTCCCGCCGCAGAATGCTTCGGATGAGGCACTTGGCCTTGGGTGACAGAGTCTCTGGAATGTTGAACTGGCCACGCCGGATCTTGCTGAAGAGGGAGCTGGGTTCAATGTCATGGAAAGGGTACCGCCCCACCAACATGGTGTACAGCATCACCCCCAGGCTCCACACGTCGGCTGCTTTGCCCGAGTAGCTGCCACTGGTGTTCAAGATCTCTGGGCTTACGTAAGCCGGGCAGCCATGCTTGTCGGAGAGGGAATCATCGTCTCCCCGCAGAATGTAGGCGTCTTCCAGGCTTTCCAGCTTGACCCGAGTCCTGCAAGAAAGGAGGAAAACATAAGCTCCTGAGGGTGCTCGGAGACACGTTACCACCAGCATCATAACATACCCGACTATAGTGTTTCCGAAGACTCCTCATTCACATTCATTCATTCATCTGACCAGCCAAACATTACTCACTGAGCACCCTCTAGCTGCCAGCTCCTATTCCAGGGCTGACGACACCCACATGGGTGAACAAGACTGACAAGGTCTTTTCATGCAGCTGACAATCCACTGGGGAGCTCAAATCTTGAGCACCTTAGCGAACCATGAATCACATTATCATCACCCTTGTGAAGACGGAACAAGAGATTAAGTAGCTTTCTCAATGTCACATTTGCATAATGCTAGGGCACCACAGAATTCAAACCGAGATCTAACCAACCAGGAAGCCCACAGCTTTGTCTACAACTTTTAGCAGACTTGTAACTAACGTGACAGAACACAGTCCACAACGAGCTTTCACCTTACTTGCATTTTGGCCTCACTACAGCCCTTTGTATTCGACATGTAGGATATTAATATCCCATTTTACAGATGAGAATATCGACACTCAGAGAGTTTGAGTAACTTCCCCAAACCTGTTAGCTGGGAAATGGAGAAGACTTGATCTCACATCTTCCTAAGTTGATGCTGCTGCTCTTTCTTCTATACCAGCTGCCTCTCTTTAGGACCAGAAAGGAAGCAGGGGAATGTTCAAGCAGGAGTGGACTCCCATCACCTGGTCCTTCTGAGGCTGACACCCTCATATCAAGACCACCTTCTTTCGCTGGCCAGGCCCAGTGTCTCAAACCTGTAATCCCAGCACTTTGGGAGGCCAAGGCAGGCGGATCACCTGAGGTTGGGAGTTTGAGACCAGCCTGGCCAACATGGTGAAACCTCGTCTCTACTAAAAACACAAAAATTAGCCAGGCGTGGTGGTGCACACCTGTAATCCCAGCTACTCAGGAGGCGGAGGCAGGAGAATCATTTGAAGCCGGGAGGCAGAGATTGCAGTGAGCTGAGATCGTACTACTGCATTCCAGCCTGGGTGACAGAGTGAGAATCTGTCTCAAAAAGGAAAAACAAAACTGTCTTCTTTCCCAGATTTCCTGCTGCCTTTATCTTCGGTCCTGCCCCTCATACTCCCAAGACCTTGTCCTTGACCAGGTTCTAACATCTGACTAAGGTCACCCACATCTTCTGCCTGTGCACATCTGTGATTCCAATTTCCCACATGTCTGTGTGCGTGGGGTGTGTGTGAACAGAACCATAAGCCCAAGATCCAACTCAAACTAGGCATCCTACCCCCAGTCTTTCCCTGCCATTTAAGGTCCATCGTGGTTGCTGACAGGAAAGTGGGACTCTCCAGCGTATGCTCAAGAATAGAGGTAAAGAAATCCTGCATTAAAGACCCTGGAATCCAGCACGCATCCTTACACAGTAAGATCTGATGTCATTGTTGTGTATGACATAAGTGCTCAGGAAATACTTTCGGAAGTGAGTTGAATTCTTATCATTAACTATACCTAATCTACTGTGAGGGCCGGGATGGCAGTGACTTGTTCAAGGCTACGGTGAAAGTCACTGAGAGCTTCCTCCACCCAGCGCCCCAAGTCCTAAACCAGCCTCCTCTCCTTAGCTCAGGGGCCTCCTAGGAATTCCTGTTTTCCTGCCCCACTGTTCTTTGAGTGGAAAGCTAGGAATTGCTACCTTCCCATACTTGAAATTGAAATCTTCCTCCGACTCTCCTGGCTGGGGCACTGCCTCACAGAGTTGTAGGTAGTCCTTGGGTCTCATAAACTTAGTTAATCTATCCCATTATCAAACCCCTGGGGGCTTGCAGAGAAGGTGAGGAGGGATGGGGAGGTGTTGGAGTTAGGATTAAGACAGCATCTACAAGGGCTGTCTCACTCGCATCTCGTATTTCCTTCATCTCAAAAGCGCACATGCAGGCACACATGCAAGCATCTGCCCTGTTTGCCCCGAAGTGCAAAAAAAGCTCAAATAAGCAGAGAATAAGAAAGAGCTTGGAAAAACCACACTGGGTCATAAGTCAGAGCTTGTGACTCAAGTCCATCTCCTGCTGTTTCTCTTCCTCCATCTGCCTGAAGGTCTTAGCCTTTCAGCGTGATCACCACAGCCACTAAGAGTCATAGAAGTGGGGGCAAGGTTCAAATTAACCAAAAGATTGCTGCTAGGAGTTCTCTATAGCAAAAGGTTTGGTGAAATCCTGGGTTGACTCTAAGACCTCATATTTGGATTACAGGAGTTCAAAGCTCAAGGAGTAACTACTTCCCGTATTAATTTCCACCAACAAACAAACAATAGTTGTGGTCATGGGAAAAGGCACGGGGATAAGAGCTAGGAAGGCAGTTTCCAGGCAAGGCTTTGTCTCTCACTTGCTGTGTGGCTATGGCTGAGTCACTCAACCTCTCTGTTTTTCAGACCTAAAGAGGAGCACTGGACAAGGAAGTCTTTTTAAAAAGTTATGTGGTAAAATAGACACAACATAAGACCAATGAAGTACACTTAAACCATTTTTAAGTGTACTTCATTGGCATTAAGTACATTTACACTGTCATGCAAACATCTGGACAAGGCGGTCTTAAAGTCTGTCAGTTTTATCATTCTGGGATTCTGTAATACCCATCTCTCCCTTTTTTATGTGCTCACTTACATTCTATTATAATCTATAGTATACATACTCTTCTGCACCTATAGCTAATGTTCTACCAAAACAGGAAGGATCTACATGTGCTAATCCAGAATGGAGCTGATTAAAAACCAGCATCTTTTGTCCTTTTGTTTTTCCTAATCGAAGGTGGCAGGTGGAGCTGGCCCATGAGACTTACTAGCTGTCGAGATGCGACGGAGGTGAAAAGGTGAAACCCAAGGGGCAGAGGAAAGGAGGGGGAAGGCCGGGATCTCGAACCACAGGCACGGTGAGTTTTCCCCACAGCTTCCTCCACCCCATTCTCACCCAGCGCAAGCCAGACCCCTCACCTCCAATTTCACTGTTCTAGCAGCAGAATAGCTATGGAAAGAATTACAACTGTGGAAATAATAGTAAGAAGAAAAACAAGCTCTTCCATCTGTGGGACAAGGGGCGGTCCGGTGGAACAAGCATGGATCTTGGTATCAAAGGGCCCAGGTTTTGCCCAGGTTCCCCTGGCCCAAACCTGCAGTGGTGATGCAGCTCATCTTTGGCCACGGCTGCAGGGTGACCCCCAGGGACTCTCGACCATCTCTTGGACCACACTCCCTTCTCTCTCCATCCCAGCCTGTTTGCTGTTCCTCACATGCCCTGCTTGGCCCCAGTCCTTCTGAGGCCTTTGCCACAGTGTCCCCTTGCCCTAATTATGCTTCCCCAACTGTGTGACAGCTCACTTTTGTCTTGTCTCTGCTCGAATGAAGTTTATTAAACTTCATCCTGTCCATCCTACATTACGTAGCCCTCCTCCTTTTTTCAGCATGGGATATATTGTACATTTACATTTCAAGATTTACTATGTATCATTATGGTCATCATTTCCAGATGATCACCTCACTTCCCACCTCCGAGAGCCCATGGGCATGCAGCTGATGTCATTTTGTACGTAGAGAACAACACTTAAGTTTGCTGCTGTACCTTGAGCACCTAGATGAGTACTTGGCACACAGCAGATACGCAATCCATCAATGACAGGGACAGTCCTGCTGTCGACCCCAGGGGGAGCTTCAGTGTGCTCACCGGGAAAGGAACAAGGGCCGATGATCTGCCTACCTGGCCAGGGTTTAGTGGCAGTCAGTGAGAGCTCTACAGAAGATGGGCTTTGTAAATGACAGCATTGAGGCATCTCCCATGGTGATAGGGGGGTGGGGATATCAGGCATCTGTCAGTAAAGGTGGGAGGGAGATATGACTACAGGGACTTGAACTTCTCCTGGCTCAGCCTTGGCAGGGTGCAGAGCTCACCACCTCAAGCTTTTTATGCAAGGGACTCTCGACCATCTCTTGGGCCACACGCTCTCTCACTCCCTCCCAGCCTGTTTGCTGTTCCTCACATGCCCTGCTTGACCCCAGTCCTTCTGAGGCCTTTGCCACAGTGTCCCCCCGCCCGGATTATGCTTCCCCGACTGTGTCAGCTCACTTTTGTCCCGTCTCTGACCAAATCTGAGGCCCTTTTCCATTCCTATCCCCTTCCAGGTCACCATTTTAGATTCTGACTTTCTCCTTCACCTCCTCCTGCCAGGTGTCCCCACATTCAAAGCATCCTAACCCCTTTGTGGAAGCCTCAGAAAATGGTTAAGGCCTCCACTCCGTCCACTAACACTGACCCTCCCCAAGCTGGAGTTTACCTTTCACCTTTCCTATCTCAAGATGAGCACACGGAATCTAGGCCCGATACTTCATGAATTTGAGAATAAAATGAAAAGACCATCCCACATGCTGCCAAATACCAGCTGCCCCCAAGCTCATCTAGCCAACACTTCACGCTCCTTTCCCTCAGAGGATGCAATTTTAGTGGGGAGGGCCCAGGTCTGCTTGTCACATTTGGTTCAGCACATGCTGCAGAAGGACAACCACAGAAACCAGCCCAGGTCAGAGAGCAAAGCAGTGTCCTAAGGCACAGACACCTGGGTTCAAGATCAGGCCTTGAAAATTACAAAGTACCAAATGTCAGATATCATCTATGTACCCAATGCGTGCAAGGCACTTACACATACCGTCTCTTCAAAGTCGAGGAGCTCCATTTCCAAGGCAGGTACTACGATTCCTTTTCTCACGGACAATGAGCCTAATGCTCAGAGTCTGAATAGGCTCCTATGGCTGGCAAGGCAAAGCAGTGGCTGGGTGCTCACCTTTCTTAGGCCTGACCCCACCTACTCAAGAAGCTGGTGGAGGAAACCACACCAGGGTTGCTCAGTTCACTAGGTTCCATCAAGGCGCGCAGCACATGTGCCTCCCCAGTGTCAGAGGACAGCCAGTCCTTGGGACAGGAGCCTGCTCTTTCTCTAGGGGAGAATCTGCATCCCAGGCAGGACAGGGGCAAAAGAAAAGAGAAGCTGGGAGAAAGGATGGGGAGGAGATGCAGCCTTGCTGTCCTTGGTAGGTCATTCTTTTGACCTTGCTTCCTTCTCAGAACACTGTGAACTTGTTTACATCACTTCTAGGCAAGGGTTGAGGCAACTGGTCTGGATTACGTCTTTCGACAAGGACCTTTCAGGATGTATACCACGTGAGAGGAATGGAGGGAGGTCCGACAGGCGGGGGTGAGTGTCAGCTCTGGTCACTGTGGACTTGCTGTGGAACTGCAGGGAGGCTGCTGAAGGTCTTTGGACCTTGGCTCCCTCCTCTGGGAAACAGGGCTGCCAGTCACGAGTCTCAAGAATGTGTATGGGGAGTCCCTGGTGGGGCTCTAGCACATGTCAGAAATGGGAGCAGAAATGAATGAACAGTCTTGCAATGGCTCACGTCCCCTCACAGTCTGGGCATTATGAATTTTCCAGGCAAAGGAGTTGATTTCCATAAAAACCAACAGAAGCATCTGTGGACCTAGTAATTCAAATGTCCCACTAGTCATGCAGGCATTTAAAAGACATTTACCAAGCATTTTACTCTGCTTGAGTTGCCCAACCAGGCAACTCAAGGCACTGGGGAGACACCGCGGAGACAGACATGACAAGGAACACCCATCTTCTCAGTTTTTGTGAGAATTAACTGTCATAATGCAAGTACGGTATCTACCGAGGAGCCCAGCGTGGTAGATCTGCAAAAAACTAGCGGCAGCCATGATTACTGATCTTATTATTAAGATGAACCTTCGCACCTACCCTCAACCCGAAAGCCTCGTGGAGAAGCAGGTGAGGAAGCGTGAAATGCAAGTCCCCAGCACACGGCAGTAGATGTGAATTCTCGTTCCTTCCTGAGTCTTTTGCTCTTGTTCCTCCCGCGGGCTGGAATGCTTCTCCCCAGCTCCGTGCCCAGCCCAGTCCCCTCACTTTATTCAGTTACGACTACGGTGATCAGGATATGCTTCCTGGAAGTGGTGGTACCAGAGATAGTCCGAGAAGAATAAACATTCCCCAAAGTGACAAGGGGTGGGGGGGCTGTGGTAATTTTTGTGACTAAAACGCTGTAAATGACAATGGTTATCTCCAGTAACTTCTCAGGGGAAGAGACAGCTCCCTGCCAGCCACCAGCTTGGGGTAGGATTGGTTTGGCCAGAGAAGCTGGATCCCCGCAGGCCTTTTGCAAACTGTGCCTGGCATGGGAAGAGAACAGCCTGCTTTGCTCTCAACCTGCTGAATGAACAAGGCTTACACGTGGGCAGCCTGTGTACTCAATGACGGCCCAGCCCAGTGCCAGGCCTTGTGTCACCGGATCCCGGTGCCAGGTGAGGAAGCCAAAACCAGCAGGGTGTGGTTCCTCTCCCAGCATCTGTGGAGCAGCACAGATCGGCCCTGAAAGCCCCAATTCTCCCCGCACCCCCATCCACTCTCAGCACAGGCTCCAGAGCTCCCTTGGGCCAGTAAGTTGAACTACCAGTGTGGCCCCTGGTTCTTTTGGCCTCAATTTCCCTTCTGTAAAATAAGAACAAATAGCTGCAAGGCCTGAAAAGGGCTCTTCTAGCTTCAGAATTCCAGATTTTAAAGTTTCCTTTAATTCTTAAGCTCTAGTGATTACAACACACCGTATAATATCCTAATAATAATTATAGTAACAATAATAGAAACTATGTGTGAAGCATCTACAAGATGCTAAGATTATTAACAGCCTGCATCCTTATTTCTCAAAAGTAAAAGACAAGTATGATATACGCATGTTTCCTAATAAATAAGGAAGCTGAGGCACAGGGAATTAAATGCCCCAGGCTGTACACAAAGAAGCTGAAGAAGCTGAGCTCTGAAATCTACATCTGTACTCTACTGCCATTGCTCTTTCCAAAATACATTCTGGTACTAAAATCACTGATTTACTTAGGGCCAAAGAAAGAAAAACTTTTAAAGGGAGACCCTGAGATGATGGAGACAAATCTGTCTCCATCTGTTGCCTCACTGGTGGCCCAGTTTATTCAGCACTAGATCTGGTACAAAACCATCCCATTCACAGCTAACTGCTATAGCTCATGAGGTTGATACAGGTGGTTAGACCTGCCCATTTACTGGATGAAGAAACTGAGGGAACAGAAAGCAGATCTGACTTATCCAAGGCCACCTCGCAAGCCAGTGGTAGAGCTGGGATTCAAACCCCGGTTTTTAACTCCAAGTTTAGTACTTGATCCACAAGATCAAAAAATAGTCTCCACGAGCAAATCATGCTGTGCTTTTAAATCTTTAAACAGCACCCTGGGCTCTTGGCAGGAAGAGATCAGGACAGGGTGGGCCAGGGTGGGGCTGAGCTGGGAGTTCAGCCAGACAAAGTGGGCCTGGCAGGGATGGGAAGTCCGGTGGCCTAAGGTCAGTGAAATCCAGAGAAATCACTGAAGGCCGTCCGGTCAGGCGGTCCAGATAGGCTTAAGGGTCAAGTGAAAAGGTCAGCTGCTGCCAGATCTGACCTTGCCCTGACTGTTACTGAAACACTACTCTGGGCAGCCAGTCCAGTTGTGAAAGCCAGGGTCCCGCCCGGGACGACTGCTACCAACGGCCTGGGAAGGACCACCTGGCACCATAGGCACCATTATGCCGGCCTGGCAGCCTCATTAGAACTTCACAGGCCGCTAAACGATTCCAAATAAATTGTCGTGCATTTAATTCTGGTTCCTGTATGCACAGACTTTTCCAACAGTCACCTCTGAGAGCCACCTCTGCACCAGGTCTTGTAGAGTCAGTGAACCACCCCAACTCCTACCTCAAGTGGCCCATAAATTAGCAGGGAGAGCAACAGGTGAGCCACAGGGGAAGCATCTCAGGGCAGGAGGGCAACAGGTAAGCCACAGGGGAAGCATCTCAAGGCAGGAGAACAACAGGTAAGCCACAGGGGAAGCATCTCAGGGCAGGAGAGCAACAGGTAAGCCACAGGGGAAGCATCTCAGGGCAGGAGAGCAACAGGTAAGCCACAGGGGAAGCATCTCAGGGCGTCGCGGTGGAGGGAGAGATGTCTACAGGGAGAGAATATGCTTCGTTACCTTACAACACCACACAATCTGGAAGGTGGGTGTGCCCACACCGATTTGATGCAGGAGACGACAGCAGCTTAGACAGATGAAGGAACTTGCTTGGAAATAGCACAGTGGGGATAAGCAACCCAATCTGACTCAAATACTCAGGTGTTTTCTGCAGTGCCATCTACCCAGCCACGACAGAACCCCTGCCCTGTCCGCATGCAGGGGCATGTTCCTGCCCCTGACTCCCATCCGTGGTACCTGGATGAACAGGGGAGTCTCACTGTACCTGAACACCTTCCCACGCCCCCACGCAGACACCACACAGCACAGCCTGCAGGCCGCTGGGGCTTCACAGA